TTATGGGATCTATAATATAGTAATTGAATATGACTTTTTAAAATTTTAGTACATACTATACTATACTATGCATATGTATGTATATAATTGGAAGGTGACATGAAAAATAATTGAATGCACCCGCAATCAAAATTGTCGTTTTGTGTAGTACAAAAATACATACATACATACATTTTTTCTTCTTACTCGCATTGTATAAAAGTGATTAAATGCATGCCATTTAATACTATCTCCTTCTTGTGTCATCCTAGGGTTATTATACTACTATATATATGTATATTAATATTACACGAAAGTTTATGCCAAAAAAAAAAATCTCATACACAACATTTATAAAACATGCATATTTACGTATACATATATAAATAAAATTCTAATAGTGTGTAAAAATTAAATAAGAATTTACTGTATTCAATTAAATAGGTTTGAAAATTTTAAATATGAGTACATGACATTACAATAATATCTTTTGCAATGTCAGGTAATGTTGATAGATAGGAAATACTAAAATTTTGTAAATGGTGTAGTGAAAAATGAGCGAAAATAAAAATGTGTTTGTTGACTGTATTTTTAAAAATGTTTTTTTTTGTTTTTTAATAAGTTTTTCAATATTATATTTAAATACCTTTGAATATTTAACTTTATAAATTACAATATTAAAATTTAGTATATTTATAGTACATATGTATGTACATACGTGTATGATATCAAAGTTTCAACTTAATTTTTCCCCCCCCCCACCCAAATTTTAGTTGCATTTTTAATAAAATGTATTTTGCCTTATGCTCCCAATTTTAAGCCAAAACAAAAAACACCAGCTGACAAATCTCACGTGTACATAGTTATATTTTCATACTAATTACAAATATGTGTAATTTATTATGTTCTGTGCACATGTGTGTATGTTTATTATTGAAAAATAATATCAAAATTATTTTTGCCAAAAAAAAAAAAGTATTTAATTAATTCGTAATATTTAACAATATATAAGTATTTTTATTACTTATTTACGAAGAATATTTATTAAAAAAAAAATTTCAATTTTGTCGCCTAATATTTGAGTTGTTAATTTTTTGGGTTTTATCAATAAGTTCTTTCCTACAAATTGATTCATATTTTGTGACGTCGTAATTTTGCTGACATTTTACTCACTGTATTCGCTACAACGAACATACATATACATACATATGTAAAATATTTGAAACCTTATGAAGAAGACTACTTATCCCTAATTTCATGTATCAGTTTTATTTAGTCCTTTTATGTGCTCGATAAATAAAGTAGCTACTACGTACAAAATCTTATTTGAACATGTATGTACAGAATACGACAATGTTCTCTCTTTCGAGAACATTGTAATAAAACAATAAGCAAAATATATAATTTTTTCAACACTTTGTGCTAAAATTTAGAAACTAAAATTATTATAAAATTGCTTTTTATAACATTTTTTTAATGTAAATGCATACATACATACTTACATTCTATATTCATGCATATACATAATATATGGATCTTTCTGTTATGTTAATGTAGAGTACATACATTTATTTTACATACTCATATGCATATATTTTTGTAACTTTTCTCAAATTATCCCTAAAATTTCTGTAGTTTTTCTTTTAGCTGTCTCACTGTAACAAAATTTCTTCATACAATACACACATACAGATCTAATTTGTGTATATAGTTCATAGTGTTATACAGAACACAATTTTAGTTATTACACTCCAAGCTTCATTTTGGAATAGCGCTTGTGATTATTAAGCTTTTTATTTTGAAACAGCTTCAATTCTATTGAGTACTTACAAAAATGTCTTCTTATATAGCACTATAAACTATAATACATAATTGCAAAACATACTAATACATGACATGTTTTCTTTATAAAAATTTAGTTGTTTTTCGAAAAAAAAAAAAATAATAATTCTAAGATGGTATTTTTTAATCAAATTTCAGATGTATTTTACATTTAATTTAGTCCGCGTTAAAAACAGAATAGCAATTTTATAATGCATATCAATAATTGCGTAATTATTTATTTCTTTTCTGCACATTGTATATGCACTAAGCAAATTCATATTTAAATAGAAAACAGTGTGATTAAGAACAAAGAAACTAAACAAATTTCGTGAACAGCGTTCCCACTTGGATACAATTGTATCCATTTGGATACATTTTTGCTTTAAATTTGAGCTTGGATACAAAGATACTCAAATCTGCTAAAATGCCGAAATTGGCTACATTTTAAAATTTTGCTGAAATATGGATACATTTTTTTTCAAACACTAAATAAATATTACAAAACAGTTAAAATGCTGCTAATATTAAATCGCGAAGTTGCTTTATCTACAAAAAATGTTATTTGCTGGCCATTCTAAGCAGGTTTCCGAATTTTTTACAAGAAAGTAAAAAAGATACTTTATTAACTGCCTCTTCCTGTATTCAAATTTAGAAAATTTATACAAGAACGTACCAAAAATATTTTAGTGTTAGCTAGATGTAATAGAAAATGCATTGGATGTATATATTTTTTAAAATTTGTCCGTTGTCATGGTCAATCGTCTTTACCGCATAGTTCAACAACTACAGAAGGCATATATGCATATGTTTTTTCTGACCTTAGCTTTCACATTTAAAATATAATAGAAGTTGTATGTGATTTCTTAAAGAATTTACTATAAACAACAAGACTCATATTGTGGAATAAAGCAAATTAATATTAATTATGGGTTAATTTGTACAAAATAAGACGACTTATTATAATAATGCTATATTACGAGGTTGGATACATTTTTTTCTCGAAATTGGATACATTTTGTTTTTTCCGAGTGGGAACACTGTTCGTGAATTGTGTACTTTATACTTATTCTCTCTTTCAAACAAAACCCATAAAGAGAGAAAAAATTTTAAGAGAATATGTCATCTCATATGTTAATAAAACCATATTCGCACGCACACACACACATACATATGTATATTATTGAAAAGATCGAGGTCATATTTCGAATTTTGTTTTGATAGACCGTTAAAATTAACATTTAACTCTTTTTTTTTTTTGTAATGGCATAAAATTTTGCCATAAATATCCACGGTCCATTGAAATGCTTCCATGTAAAGAAGAACATTTTCGCACATAATTTTTAATAAAATTAAAAAAAAATCTTTATCTATCAAGCTTTATGTGCACATCAATATATACTAGGCCTATGACCGAAAAAACTGAAAATTAATTGACCAAAATTAGTTATTAATTAATTTTAATACCTTCTTAAAGAAAATATTGGTACAATGTACAACAACTAAAACCATTTTCAAATTACTAACAATATTATAATTAAATTATATTAAAATGATTTTATACATAAGTATGTATGTACATATGTACATACATACTTATCAAAATACATACTTAATATTTATTAGTCAAGTGTGTTTGGATGTTTCATATTTATATTATGGAGAATTGTATATGCAGTCGAACACACATATAAGCAACATGTTGGCATTCAAAAGTCGATCGAAAGCAGTTCAAAATTTAGCTTCAGTTTATTTTATATATGCATGTATCTACATATTATATACATTCCATAAAAAACCCGGATAAATGGAAAATTCTTTCTGTAATGGTTACATTTATAATAACATAAAAGGAAATCTTGTTAGAATTCAAACATATTACGAGATAATAAAAAATTTTTGTCTTCTCAAAAATTTCTTTGATATTTTTATTTGGGACATCCCTGAAAGTATTTATGCCAAAGCGTTATTCTGCGAGCTAACAGTGTCTGTAACAGTAAAATTGTTTGATATCAAATTATTAGTTAAGTTTGTAGATTTGGCGGCTTTTGATACAAAAAAAAAAAACAAATATCCATAATTTTTATTTCTCCAAATAAATTTGTATAATTGGACAAATTGTGCAGTTGGAAGCTAGTACGTGCGAATTCTTTATAAATGTAAAGCTCGGGTAAATGAAATAAATTTTGTAAAATAAATGAAGCAAACAGTTTACGTATATCCGGGTTCGACTATTCTATGGTAAAATTAACTTTAAAAAATTGCTCTCAAATTTTATATTGTACATATTATAAAGGTATATGCATGGATGTATTTTATATTTCATTATATCTGCATATACGGATGTACTCATACATAATATATAATAGGTTTAATTTTGATATTATTTATGTAAAATTATTGGGAAGCTACATAAAATATTACGTACGTATACTTACATTTGGATGTGCACATGCACATGTATATGAACACATTGAAAATATTCAACAATATACTTTCTTATTAAATACAATTCGGTATACATAATATACTAATAACAACACATACGCAGCAAGCAACACAAATTTCAATAACAAATAATTAAAAAAAAAAAAAAACGGAAATTACGTCCGTGCATGCATGATCCATGTGCATATAGTAAGTAAATATTTTTATATACTTGCGTTGCATGTGTATTTTATGTACAATATCCACTATACAGTATAAAATTTACAAAAACAATATCTAATAATTACTTGCGCAAAATCTTATTTCTACCAGGTTGCTTTGTCTTTTTGTTTTTTGGGTTTCTTTTTTCTTTTTTATTATTATAAACAACAGTGGTTTTGTTTTTGTTATTCTAAAGTTGTTCAGGTCGTCAATCGTCATCGAATTTATTTTGTTGGTGTCATTGTGTGGGTTGAGCACGTGAATAATCAAGGTTTATCAAATCAGACGAGAAAATTGAAAAAAAAAAGCAACAAAAACAAAAACATATTAGATAAAGAGAGTAAGAAAGTACATATATGAAAAAGCTTTTTGTTTGGCTTTTATTCTTTTTTTTTTTATAAGCATAGAATTGCGGAATAGAATAAAATGTTTGTGTTTGTGTCCCGAAATATGCATAAGTGTGGAGTCAACATGTAATAATTACATATATGAATTCATACCATATACAATTTTGCTTTTAATTAACAATAATTTTCGAAATCTGGTCATACATGCATGAACATGACAATATTCTTCGAAGAGCTGGTCATTTGGAGAGTGGAGAGAAAAATTTGAAAAAGTTTGATAAGAATTTTGAAAACATAAAGTGACATTTAATGGAAAATATGTGTGTTTGTATGTTTACATGCTACAAACTACTTATTACCCTTACTTTAATGCATTCATACGAAAAAAAAAGAATGTTTGTAACATTGTTTTATTTTTGAAATGTTGTTCTGCCAAAATTTATTAAAAATTATTTTCAAATTCTTTTTTTAAATATATAGACATCATGTATGCACAAAATGAACTAAAAAATGTAAAATGTATGTATTGTTGGTATGTAATATGCATATGGTCAAATCAGTGTTGGGATCAGTAAAATTGAAAAAGGGCTAAATATCAGTTAAAAGAAAGGCCAAAAATGGCCAAATATTTTTTGATGTATGTATTTTCAACTATGAACATACACAATTTTTAAAATCCCTTTTAAAAAATCTTTTAAGCAATCAGCACAGCTGCAAGTAGTAAACGATTCAAAAATCGTTTGCTACAATCAAACTCAAAAGTTTGATTTTTAAAACATTATTTAAAAGAGAAACTAACAAACTGTTACTTATCTAACTCAAGTTTATGAACATATTTTTATGCAACAATTCTTCTTTAAAGGACAATTTTTGCTCTCTTAGAAATTTATCGAATATAGGCAGATATGTACACTACTTATCATTTACAGCCTGAAACAAATAATAGTGGTTATCATAATAATAGTGAATATCATAGCTATATTTTGGATGATAAAAGACATTTTTACAAATATATGGGGCTATTTTATTTCTTTGGTAAATTTTTTTCATTTGATCTTTTTTCAACACTCACCAAAAATTTCAAAAGTCAAATCAAAACTTCAAAAGTTAATCAAATTAACAACCTTTAAGAAATCAAAGGAAAGTGTTTAAAATTTGAACTGAAGAAACTTGGTTAGAAAAAAAAAATCCCTTTAATTATAAAATTTTTCTAAATGTTTTTTGATTAACTAAAAAATAATTATAATACACTTATGTACATACATATGTGTGTAATGGAGGTACACGTTTAAAATTGGGAACCAATGCAAAAAAAGATTTTTAATGAGTATTTAATTACGGTTCCCATTTACATACATACATATTTGAAGGCATAATATGTAGCTACTATGTAATTTTGAAATTAAGAAATTATTATGCATTTTTAAATACAAATTTATAATAATAATTGCATTGCTGTTTTCCAGCAAAAGAAATATTATTATTGGCATATTGTGCCAGATGGTATTTCTTTTATAATGAAAACCATCTATATGAACTAAAGTAGGCATATCGTCTGCTGAGAAATGAAACAGTGTATGATGCGTATACACTGTTTTTCGATTTTATCACCATTGGATTCCCCGTAGTCGATTTCATAAGTACAACTATATTAAGTAACTCTTCATATTGATTGCGATAGGGTTTTTAAAGAAAAACGAAAATAGTGTATAATTCATTTGGGAAAAAAAGTTTGTAAATAAATAGTGTATAATGTGTTCACTCTGTTTTATTTCCAGACCCTAATTTTTTAGTAAAAACTGAAACAGTGTAATAAACCTATACACTATTTTATTAGAAAATTGAGCTGACAATTTTCGATTTTGCTACTAAATGAAATAGTGTATATTGCTTTTACTTCATTTTATTCGAACATTTTCTAAAATTTTTATAATATAAAACAACGTAGGCCTTTGATACACTGTTTTAATTTTTTGCAAAAAAAAATTTTTTCGTTGAATTAAAATTTACAATAGTGTATGAATATTATACACTGTTTCATATTGCTTCATACACTGTTTTGATTTTTAATCAGCAATTACTTTATTTTACAAACCATGCAATAAAAACAGTGTATACAAAAGATTGACATGTTCAGTTTTTATAAATTTATATTTAATATAATTTAAATTTCTATTATATATTTATATTTAGTAAAATTATAATTATCAAAAAATTTCAACACGTGAATTTTATGCGTATAAAAGCTTATTGTGTAAAATTTGTTTGAGTTGGCCGGAAGGTAGTGAAAATAAATAGTGAACACAAATCGTTAAAATATTAAAAATTTAAGAAAAACAAAGTTTTTAAATAAAGAAATTTTATAACGGATAAAAAATTACGGGATGAGGAAGTGCAAAAAATTATTGAAAAGTTTTCAGAACCATCTTTACAAGATTTTTCTGCAGATTCGGACGACGACTACGAAATGTTAGGTGACGAGAACGATTCTTTATCATCTAATGATGAAAATGATATCAGGAATCATAATACAAAATCCGTGGAAGGTCATAGTGCTTTTGTGTCAATAAAAACAGTTGAAGAATCAACAGGAATTGCCGAAGAAAATGCAGAAGTAGGAGAAAGCACGAACAATGTTAGAAAGCGGCAAAAGAATGAAAAATTATGGATACAAAATCATAGGAAATTGATGCGAAATTCTGGACAACAATATCTGACTAAACACGGTAAATTAAAAAATCGGGAAATTCTAGAAGAAATTTTACTTATAGTTATGAACTAAATGGTAAAGAAGCTTTCAAAAAATTTTTAGTATACAATTTAACTTTGTATGACTTGGTGACTAAAGAAGGCTATTGTAACTTTTGGATGGAAATTAATGGTGAACGAAGTTCTGATGAAGTTGGTTCAATTTTACTAAAGCATCTTGAAAACACTACCTATTACAGTCGAGCACGTCATCTTGTATTCAGATTGCTGTGGTGGACAAAATCGAATCAGGTAATTAATTAACGAATTAACAAAAAACTTAAAAATAGATGCGATAGTAATAATTGAAAATTGGTTTAGTAATTAACAAAAAACATTTATTTTTATTTTTAGATACATAACAGCTCTTCCTGTTTATTGCGGCAGACCACTTCATTTCAAAACAATTGAAATAAAATATTTAGAGTCTGGACACACAAATGGAGGTGGACGGCATGCATTCGGCAATTGAAAAAGCCAAGAAAGGAATTTCTATATATTCACCAAAAGAATGGCCTACTATTTTACGAATTGCGAGACGTAAAAATCCTTATATAGTCAATGAACTAAACTTTTCAGAATTTTATGATTTAAAATTCTTATTTAATGGATTAAATCACGATTTGTACCACAATTCCAATGGAGAAAAAATCAGTTGGCTTAAAGTTAAATGTCTTAAAGTAGAAAAATCAAATGCAAATGTTATATTATTTAAAACTGATTGGAAGCAAAAAAATTATTCGATAATTGATCTCACCAATACAAAGAAAAAAAGTCAATTACTTTGTCAGTACAAAACAATTTTGAATTAAAACAAAAAGTATTTCAAAAGTTTAGATATAAGTACGTCGAAAAAGCGAGATTTGATATCACTTTCTCGCAACGGCCTTCTCCCAGCAAACACTAAGGAATTTTATGAAAATCTGCCAAAGAAATTAACACAAAAAAATTTATTAGATGAACCAAATTATTCCGAAGATGAAAAAACATATAATTTTTTTTGTAAAGTTAAGCATTATGAAATTTTTGGAAAGCTGATATTTTGATTTTTGAATATTATGTTTTACTTTTGTAAAATATATTGTATAAAAAAAGTTTTGTTTGTCGAAATAGATAATTGAATAAACTTTATGTTAAAAATAAAACAGTGTATACATAAAAATGAAATGGTGTATACCATACAAAAAAAATAAAATGAAACAGTGTATAATTTATTTCATACAATTATCTTCAAAAGTAAAACAGTGTAAGAGGTACTCTAAACTTTCAAAACCACAATTTACTATGATCCATGTGAATCTATAATTTCTTAAAAGTGGAAATGTTTTGTTAAAAGTTTTAGAAATTTGGTGTTGTCTTTCAAAATAACTTATATAAAAAGCTTTATGTACTTTTTAGGCCATAAACGTAAGTTTAAATTTTCAAAAAACTTTAAATGCAATTTACTCGAAACTATATATTTTTTTATACACTGTTTCATTTCTCAGCAGACGATATTATTTTTATAGGCGTAGTATTATTTGCATATTTCTTAGAAAATAATGTGACAAATTTAACAAAAGAAATTAAGTTACATATTAAGGTTGGAAGAGTTGATAGTCTAATTTTTGTTTTGTTTACTAAACTTATTTAATTTAGTTAGATTACACAAATGAATATTAAAAATTGTTTATGGACTTTGATTTGTTTCAGTTCTGTTTTGTTGGATCCAATACTGTTCAATGATTAACGGAAATTTTATTTACACAAATGCATATGTACAATGTATGCATGTATGTATGTTTGGAAATTGTGAAAAACATTAATATATTCATGGGAAATGTTTGAATTCGATATTTTTTTTTTTGGTCTGTTTTTACATAAATATTGAAAGATATAAATGTACATATTTATGTATGTATTTTTGTGCTCATAAAATACAAAAATTGATTATGAAAAATATTTCAGAATTTCATTTCACTCAAGCTTTCTCAGAAAGTAGTTTTAACATGACAAATACAAATAGTAAAAACAATTTTTTTTTTCATTTATAAAACTGATTAAAATTTATTAAAAATTGAGAGCAAGAAAAAGAGTGTGTCCAAGATATCAATTTTATTTTGTAAGTACATGAACATACACACATAGATAGCAGTAATAAAACAAAAATGTTTTCATTTTCTATTTTGAGTACCGTTTTTTTTTTATTTTTTTATTGTTTTTAAATAAGAAATTTTTTTTTTAACTGTTGTTTTGTATCTACCTAATACATATCACTTCATTATTTTTATTAATATAGTAATGTATTGGATTGAAATTCGTATATGTGTGTGTTTTGTAAAATGTGTGCAAACATGTGTGAGTGTGTGTGTAATAAAGCCGTATTAATTAATGAAAAAAATATATGTATAATAATAAGAATAATAATAAATAAGAAAATAATCATCCCGTTCCCGTCCAGTTTGTTTTGAATAAAATGAGATAGAAATGACGATTATGTACGATAAATATACGAATAAAAACGAATGAGCACACATTATGTTTTGTTTTTTTTTTGTCTTTTATTATTTTTGTTTTGACGACTCATTTCTTTATTTTCAATACTTTAGTGAGTATATGAGTATGTTTAACAAAAATGTATGTTCTTTTTTTTTTTATTTTATTTTTTATAAAATGCACACAATGATAAAATTTTCGCGTACTCGCTGTTATAAAAAAAAAAATTATTTTCATGCGCTCTTATATACATATATATATATGTACAATAAATACATAGGATTTTTTTTTTTTTTTTTTTTTAATATTATATGGGTATCGTGCTTTTTGTTCATTAATATACCTTGTTATTTTTTATAAGAGTGTTTGTGTGTTTGATTCTTAAAGATATAAAATATAAATGGGCGTGTATATGTGTGTGTTTGATGAAGTATTTTTGGCTCTTTTGCTGCTATGTTTTCATTAAAATATTTCTCATTCGATTAGTTCTTTGGATGACTTCACTGTAGTTAAAGTCAAAGAGATAAAAATAAAATTATATTTGTTATCTTTATTATATTTTTATGTAATTTTTTTTTTTGAAATTGAAGTTTTGTATAAAAAATTTTTCTAACAAAATATAAAAGAGGAATTTTATTAAAATAATTTATTGTAAATCTATTTTGATACTGAAATTATTTTACTCATGCATTTTAAAATTTGCATAGCAATTACATATTAGAGAAATTCCCAAAAAAAAAAGTGAAAAAAGAAAAATAAATTAAAGTACAATTTTTTTTTTTTATTTTCGGGGGAAAACTTTTATAAATAAGAAATTTTTTTCTTCTTATAACGGAATTTTCAACAAAGAAAAAATCTAATACCTTTTTAAGAAAATAGAACATTTGGAGAGAGAAAATTTTATTTTAAATTTCATTTTCTTTATTTTATAAAAATTAAAATTTTTTTGAACAACCTTTAAATGCATATATTTTTACACACATATGTACATACATAATAATATATAAATAATAATAAAATACAAAGAATTAAGAAAAAGAATAACTTTTTAATAATAAAAAAAAAAAAAATTTTTATTTTGTACAAAAAAGAAAATAAAAAGAACAGCCAAAAATAAAAAATAAGGAAAACGCTACAAAACAAAACAAAAAAAAAAAGTTTATATTTTTCTTTATGAACTTATTGTGAGTGGAGAAGTTAATAGATTCAACACAAAATAGCTGTACGAATGAAGAAATGCTAAATATTAGTGGAGCAACACACAAAAATACAGAAATTCAAGCAATCATCGCAATATATCAGTGTATGTATGTATAATAAATATATATATATATATATGTATATATAAATTGTACAAATTTGTACCTACATGTTTTTTTTTTTTTTACATAATTATATATAAAAAGTTAAAAAAAAAAATAATGATAATAATATGTATACATATATATGCTACGAAATCGAATAAAATATTATAAATAATATAATATTGCATATAAAAAAAAAAAGATAAATATACACATTAGCAAATACATAAATACAATATATATAAAAATATGTATGTTCATAGATTATACGGTATGGTTATGACATATTTTGTGAATGTGGGTATATAATATCTTATATATACTTTTATATAAAGAGTGTAGAATTATATATGTATATATGTTTACCAGTTGTCAATAATAAAATATACATACATAATCCACATGTGTTTGTTTTTAAAATACACACCAATTTTGTTTGATATATATATGTATATATACCCACTCTCTACAGTAGAATTCTTTTAAATAAACTTCCATTTAAAATCGAAAATTTTTTTTTTTTAAAGAAAAAACAAATTTTTGTTAAAATATTGTAACTTGTCACATACATGTACTTATGTAGATAAAGTTCATAAATATGTACATATGTATGTATATGCTTACATAAAATGTAGAATTATACTAATTTACCAAATGAAAGAAGCTACATATGTAGTAGGAAACCACTATGTAATTTTTTTAAAAATTATAAAATACAAAATGAATTCTTATTGGAAAAAAAAATTTTTTTTATTGCAATTTGAAATAATTAAAGTGCTAATTTCTTAAATTAAAAATATTTAATTTTGATCAAAAAATTTAATTTTGTTTTTGATATTTCCTACATACTTCCATACATTTATGTGTATGCACATATGTAATATTATCGTATGTATTATTACTTTTTGAAAAATTATAATGTGTGAAACCTGTTTCTGTAACGTTGAAAAATACGGTTTTAAAAATTTAAGATTAGCTTATAGCAAAATTATTCTGATGCATGTAAATAGGAAAGAAACAAATTTTTATACATACATACACATATATGTATGTATGAATATTTTTTTTTTTAAATAAGATCATCTGAAAACCAATGTCCAAAATCGTGGAAATTTTGATGATAAAATTTTGAATAAAAAGAAACATTTAAGATGCTTAAGAACAAGAAACACCTATTATATTCTATTATATACGCTAGATTTGAATTTATAAATATGTATAACCATATATGTATATATGTATGCACATATAATTAAAAAAGATCTTTATTTCCATTTCGATTCGTTATTTCTGCAAAATGACTTTATGCTGTTTTAAAAAATGCCAAAGCCATTTATACCTACCTATGTTATTTTCGAATAAAACAAAAGTAAAATTGTCATTGTTTTTTATAAGTACATATGCACCATCTATATGTAGATGATTGTATTTTAATAATATATTATAATATTTAATACACATATGTATGTAAGTTATTAATTTATAATAGGTATATAACATAACTATAAACATATATGTATATAAAAGTGTTTATGTATACCTGAAAAAAACGAACTATAAAACGCGAATACTTGTTTCAATAAAAACAAATAAAAAAAAAATAAAACAAAGGCTTATTTTCAAAATATTTTTTTTTTCTTGTTTTTGGGATTTTTTATACACTCTGCTATTTATTTTTATTATGTATTTGGAGATTTGTTTAAAATTACACAATTTTGTTCTTTCCAATTAAATAATTTGCAACGTACACACATATAAGTAAATACATATAAGTACATACATACATCTATACTTGTGTTTTGTATTTGAAAACAATTAATTTTCAAAATTTTAATAAAAAAAATTTTTTTTTGGATAAAAATGATTTAATTATTTTTCATCTAATGATGTAAAAAATATATTTTATATAAAAACATATGTATGTAATATGGATATAATATGTACTTGTATATGCATATTATAATTTTTAACTTATTACCAACACTATTTCTTCCGCAAAATTTTGATACCCACATGCAAGTATGTTTGTACAAATACGTACATATTTAATAAAAAAAATAAATATGGAAGTACATATGTATGTATAATATTAATTTATAAATGTACATATGTATGAATGTATCTAACATAGTGTTAGATCATATTATGTATGCATGTATGTATACAACTCGAAAAATTAGTTAGAGCTATTAAATATATTATTTTGCGTCCGTCTGTCTAGTTTTAGGTAAAGCTTGCAAATTGTTACATACTCGTACATGTATATAAACATTATAATATTTTAAGAACAAAGTTTCTATCTACATGGTACCTAATATCCTTAACAAAAATTTTATTTTTGAAAGACATTACTATGTTCAAAATTAGCTATTTTTTTTTAAGATTTTGGAAGCACGCACGGAAAGTTAACATTATGTTTTTTGTATGATATTTTATATGGTATGTAATAATATTATTATATATGTAGGTACATTTATGTAAATCACATATGTGTGTATGTTCAAATTTAATAAAATAATATTTTAAAATATTCGCTAAATTTAATTATTTATGTACACTTTCTGTATCCAATCCGCATAATATAACGTATATACAATGTTTCTTTTTACAGTTCTTATGAATTTTGATATGGTATATAAGTACTGAACACATTGTAAAATGGGTGTGTACTTTATTTTACAATGAAAAAAAGCTAACATAGGAAATAAATTGCTTTTCAATACAAATTGAAGAACATACTCTCAAAAGTAAAATCATATAAGTAATTCATCGTAGAAATAAATCCTCACAACCTGTATAAATATACACTAATTTTTTATCTACGAGTACAGAGTACAATGTTTAGAGAGGAAATGTTAATTTACTTATCTGCTCACACGGCCCAAATTCTATGAATCTTACGTTTAGAAAATCCCACCATTTATGAATATATTTGAATATATAAAAAAAACCTTTAAGTATACATTTGTAAATAGTCGAAATTGTATGAAGAAGTGTTTATCACTTTTTTGACTGGTGAAAATTGTTTTTAATATGATTTTAATCTTTGTATAACCAAGAAGTATAATTTTTTTTTTTTATTATTTTAATTAAATTTTTAAAACAACCACGAATTTAAGATTGTATAAGTACGTGTTTAAAGTGAAATTCATTTTAATCAGCCCGTCCATAAAAGAAATTGACGAGCCCGAAATCCAGGGTCGGAAATTTTTGTAATGTCATGCTAATAATTTCAATTTCAATTTATATAATAACACATTCAAATAATCATATGAATACAAATGTATATTTTCATATATTCCAATATAAACGTATAGGTAACAAAACAATAATTGTCATGCGATTTGAATAACTTGTAAATGTATTGATCAACACATTAAAATATACAAAAATATGCGCACATGTACAAAATAAGAGAAATAAATTAATAAAAATATTGGAAAAAATTTTCTGTAAACACGTAACAATACTATTTCTTTTTTCGCCATAAACTAAGAAAAATTATTTTTTTTTTTTCAATTTACAGGAGCATACATACATATGTATGTATTTACATGTATAGATAAACGAACGTACATACATATATTTATAAAAATTTTGTAAATAAATAAAATGTGTAAAGTAATATGAATATGCAATATCAGATTGTTTTCAATTATACTTATTGCATTAATTTATATGCAAGTAGCTAACGTACGGATCATGACATAACTTATTTCAGGAGTGCAAATTAGGGAAACAAAAATCGAAACAAAAAAAATTTTACAAAGTTATGAAAAATTCTTATGGTCTTAAGATTTTGGTAATATAATGTAAATTTTTATCCTACAAAGCTCTTTTCAAAATTATATAAAAAATGTTCTAATAACGAATTTTCAAAAAAAAGTTCGAAATCGGCAAAAAGCCATCTATTGGTACGTTATGTTTATGTATAACTTCTATAAAATCTTTCAAAAAATAATAATTCAAGTAAGCTTAGCCAGTCTGTATAAAAAACTTATTTTATAAAGCAAAAATGTCTATTGAAAAATAAAAGTTTGTGGACAAAAAAGGTTATAAGAACACAAATTCAAACATGCATATGTACATAAATTTGTAAATTCTTGGATCTATAAACGTGTAAAAGGTTTGCAAAGTACTTGCATATTTAAAAATTTAATAAAAAATTTTTGTTTGAGTGTCACAAGCTAGTACGAAATGAAACCAATGAATATTAATTAAGAAATGCAGGAAATATGTAAATAAAAAACGGATAGTTACACTAGATGGATTTGTATTTCATCATACATAAATCTTATGAACAATAGTTACGTATTTCTTCTATGATGCACAGGCGCACAACGAAGAATGGATTAAAGTAGGAAATTGTGAATTTACATTATATTTATTATTATGAAACTTCTGTTATGGTTCTCATTATCATTCTGTAACGTACTTTGAAGTTACTTATAAAAGTAATTGTTTTTGTTTTCAGCAATTTACACCAAGTAAATGACAATTTTAATCTAGTGTTTTATCTAGCTGGTAAAAGCGAAAAGTAACTCGTTTCTTAATTGTAAAACATAAACGGACAAGTATATAATGCTTTTATAAAACACATAATTTAGAGATGCATGTTTTGCCAATAAGAGAATTCATTTTGTAATAACGTTCGTAATTGAAGTGCACATTTAAACAAATATTGAATATGAAAATGAGAATTAATTATTGTCCGGACTAGTAAATAAAGTAACATCATGTAACATACATTTCTTTATTTTTCGCATTATATTTATTACCTATTTATATTTTTGTTTAATATTGTTCATATGTGCACGCCTTATTTAGTTAGAATAATTTAGGAAAAATTAAATAATTGAAACGTGCAATATGTTATTTAGTTTTTGAACGATTTATGCGTTTTGGTGCATGATATGTATTTGCTTATTTATTTAAAATATTTCAATATGGAAATATGTATACATATTAAAACAAGCATAATAATATTTTGAAAATTAAATATAATATAGTAAATCACAATACGTACATACATATATGTATTTAATATGAAATAAAAATTGAACTATGTTATTCCTAAATCAAAATATTTCAATATTTTTTAGGTATTTTATACATTATAACGTCTATGTATAACACAAAGTAAAATTATACAGAGAAAAGCAAATATACAAACACAAGAAGATAGAACCAGAAATAATAAAAAGGAACTACATGCAGATATTGCAGAACAGAGAATCAAAGTGAAAAATTGATTGTAACAACACAAAAACAAAAAACAAAGGCAAAGTTTAAGAAGAAAAAAAAAATATAAAAGCAAGCAAAAACAGGGATTACAACATAAAAAAAAAATGAGTTCAGCTGTAGATGCATTACTTGAAGCAGCTCGTTATATAGAACTGCAAGAACAACATGGTATTCGTGAAGGTTGGATATCTTCTGCGCTTAATACAAACTCATCTTCTACTGCAGAACTTCGTCATAACCATAATAGTCTAAGAAATACAAATAATGATAGTCGTCGCAATTCAGTTAATAATCATATAAATAATAATCATAACTCGATAACTAATCATCGACATAATAGTCATATTCAAAGTAATTCTCGGTTAAATGATTATTCTGATAGTAATAATATAAGAAGAAATGATAATTTTCAGCAACAAAATCATCGAAATAATAATGTAAATGATAATTTATTGGTAAATAATGTTAATAACAACAATAGCAACAATAATAATGTTAATAATAACAATATAAATAATAATAACATTATAAATAACAATAATAATGAAAGAATTGTGTCGCCATCATTATCACCAAAAAATCAACAAAATAATATAAAACATCAAAATGCTGCAAATAACACTAAATTATATAGTATAAATTCAAATACGCTTTCTAATCAAAATGATATATCATTAAATGCAAGAACTAATTCAATTGATGAACGTATTGAAAATGGTAATAGCATTAGTAGTAATATTGAGATTATAACAAATGGCAGACACAGACATAATTCAACATCTTCATCAACAACATCACCAATAAAAGCTGGAATAAATTTTAATTTAAATAACGTAAATATCAATAGTAATAATAATGGTAATATTACTAATAATATTGTTAATATTAGTAATAATAGTAATATTAATACTAATCACAATAATAGTACGATTAATAACATTATTACTGCAACACTTAATTCAACAAATAATACTTCTATACATGCTATTATGTCAACCACAACTGAAGATTCATCTCAATCAAGTTTAAATTTATCTTCAAGTAGTTACATAAGTGGAAGTCCAAATAATAATCATAATTCATCATCATCTTCTATATTAAATTCAGAAAACTTATTACCATTTCAATTAACATCAACATCCTCATCGATGATAACAACATCAGCATCAAGTACAGGTAATGGAAGACGTCGTACAATTAGTAACACTAGTGATGGTAGTCAGTCACATCGTAATTCATCAAGTATTAGACCAGGTACAAGAGAAATTCATAATAAATTAGAAAAGCATAGAAGAGCACATTTAAAAGAATGCTTTGAACAACTAAAAGTTCAACTACAACTAAAAGATGAAGAAAAAAAGAAAACATCAAATTTAGCTATATTAGGTGCTGCATATCGTCATGTAATGGTTTTGCGACGCAAAGAAAGAGAATTAGAACAGCAAGTTGAACTTTTAGCTAAAGAAAAAATTAATGCTCAAAAGAAAATTGTTAGTTTAAAACGTGAACTCGTTGCTAAATATGATAACATTGATTTTTCTTCAATTGTTTCTGATGTTAACAATACTACAACCATAGTTAATACAACAAATGGCATTTGTAATAATAATAACACTAATACTCAACAACAACTGCAACCACAACAACAACATCATCAAATCGCGCCATTGAATTTGAATAGAACATCCTCCCCACAAACAATGCTTTTATCACCAAATAATGTTATTAACAATAATAAAATAAATCACAGTAATGAAATTATTATCAATCACACAACTTCAACAAAAGATATTATTTCCATTGAAAATAATAAGAATATGATACAGAATAACAGAAAAATGCATCATCAATATTCATCAGATAAACCACGCGATTTAACTGTCAATTCATCCCATAAAGTTGTTATACAATCAAATAATTTTAGTAATAATTTAACAAGTAATAACAACAGCCATCATAATACAGTAGCAAATTCAATAACTCCTACTACCACAACTCCTGCTAGTTTGAATATTAAAGAAGATCCAGATCATTCTACACAAAAGGTTATCAAACAATATAATTTAATAGCCTTGGCACCAGTTGATAAAGATAACAAAATTATATCGTCAGCATCGTTACCAATACCACAGGTTGTTACAGCCGGTGGTGGACTTGTGATACCGATGTTGTCATCACAGGCATTACGTGTTATAGGACCAAATAATTTATCAACAATAGAATTTAGCACACCAGCGCTGCAAAACCATATTCAAAATACAATACCATCACTGACATCTGTGACATCAGGACAACAATTACAAAAACTATTTATAAACGGTGATTGTGGCGGTACTACGACTATTTCTGCTCATCCAGCATTAGCTGCTGCCGCTGCCGCTGCAGCTGCTGCAGCCTCATCTGGTAATGATAATAAAAATGGTATTACAACAAATGAAATCAATAGATTACCAGGTGGGGCTGAATTAAATATTTTACCTGCATCAGTAACTGGTGCCACAACATTATATAGGGGAAATGAAAAATTGACTTTTGTTAATAATGCGATTACATTAAAAAATTCTACATCAAATTCATGTAATTCGGGTATTACCACTACTACAAATAATAATTCTAGTCGCCACGTTCATGTTGTAACATCATCAAGCCATCAAAATGCAGCCATAACAAGTAATGCTGGCACAAATTTAACACCAATTGTTGTTACACAAGGTCAACAAGTTAACAATATAACGCAATTAATTGCAAATACACCACAATTAGGTAAAATGAATATTTCAGTAACAGGACATCCTCATCAAACTGATACAACAACATTACTTAACGCAGCACAATATATTCATACAGGTCCAATGAAACAAATGGTTGTCGCTGTTGCAAATAATGCTACACCCACCAATAATTCATCTACTATTCAAACTACAACTTCTACAACTGATACCATCGGAAAAATATAGTTCTTAAATAAAGAATCACCATATTCTAAGAAATATAAAAGAAATAAAAATAAAAATAAAAAATAGTAAATTAAAAATTTAATATTAAAACAAAATATTTACATATATGAAATAAATATGGAATATACAAAACAAAAGAAACAAACAAAAAAAAAAAAACTAATTTAAATTAAATTAAAATTTGAAAATAAGTAGCTGTAATTTTTAAATTTAAATACTGTAAATTATAATAATCATAATTACATATTATATTATATTATTAATAAATGTAAAAGAATTTCTGCCCTTTAAATAACATTACATAGATGAAACTAGCCACTATTTGGCAAATGTAGTAAAAATGTAGAATTGCATTACAACAAAAAAAAAAAAGAAAGAAAATAATAGAACAAAAATTATTGCATGCGATAAAACATTTAAATTTATTTTAAAATTTTATAAATATATAAGTGTATTACACAAATCATGAAACTAAAATCAGGAAATTTTTAAACATCTATGTAACTAAATTTATTAAACCTTTTTCAATTTGAGAAAACAAATTTCCAAATTTATCTTGTTGTTAATTTTATTTAAATTATTTTTAAATTATTGTGCTTCAAAGAAGAAATTGTAATAAGATGTGCACATTATTCCATATCCAATTTTAAAGAAATGCTGTAAATTTCAATATTAATTAAATACATAATTGTGCAATTATGTATTTAAAATTACGTTTTCTGCAATTATAGACTTTAAAGCTAAAATAAAACTAAAAATTACAACTAGTATAACTTCAGATCAGTATTTCAGAATTACCGAATATAAAATGCTTAATGCAATATATTTAAAAAAACTGTGATTTATTGAAAAAAAAAAAAGAAATTACAAATTGAAAGATTTAGTTAAAATTCTTTTTAATGCAAAATTTTTTATAATGAATGCAAAAAACACATATGAAAATAAAATATTTATTGCTAAAATATATTTTTAATTTTTTAAACTTTAAAAATTTAATAATTTTTCTTAAGTTTAATTTTACAGTATTTTTTTTTATTTTACTTTTTTCCCTAATACTAACACAGTTCGAAATTTCTAATTGAATTTGAACTTGCTTAATTTTCAAAATTTCTAATTCTATTTGAAAATTAATTTGCTTAATTTAATGTAAATTCTCGGATTAGGAATATTGTACAAATATATATATATATATTCAATTTTCTAAATTCTAGATGCAAAGATGTAGAACTCAACAGTAATCTTAAATTGGAAGACTCTTTAATTTTTGAAGTAAACGTAGATAAAAGCAATCCATTGAGTGTACTTTAGTACGGGTTGAATATTATAGAAACGCATATATTATAGGAATGCGTAGTATCACTTATTTAGCAATATCAAATTTAAAATATTACCAATTGAGAAAACTATCAAATCTGAGACATCGAAAAATGTTACTTTTCTATTTCTTTTTTCGATTTAGTGAGCTCATTATTTTCAATGCAAAATCAATGGTGATGTCGAAATTAAGAGCTATAGTCATTTTTGATTTTAAATTATAATTGCATCATTTTATTATTTAACTGCAAATATTTCTAAATAAAAAAAATCTATTTAAACAAATTTAAAGGCCATTTTTTCCTTTTTTTTTTCCTATATTGGAGAAAAATAATTTTTATATGTTTTTAACATTTTTAAACAATTTAGCTATTAAGAAACTGTTTCAAAGTTTTAATATTTATTAAAGGCAAAGAAAAAAAAGATTCTAATTACAATTAATGAACAAACAAAGAAAAATAAAAACAAATGTAAATTCGAATTTAGAAATTAGAGAAACCTTAAAATAACAAAAATCGTACACTAAATTAATTATAATAAAAATAAAAAATTCTTTTACTAAAAATTTTCTAAAAAAAAAAATAGCAAAAAAAAAGGTAAAAAAATAAATAGGAAATACAAATATCAACTGATAATTAAGAGTCAAAATAACAATAATGTATTTTTTTTGTTGTTTTATTATTTTCTACTGAATTAATATTTTTTTTTTTTGTTTTCTCTTTCTTGAATTTGGCAACATTAATTCTTTTGAAAAATCAAAATTAAAAAAAAAAAAAAAAATCAACTAATTTGTTACGTTTTATTTATTGTAATTTTGTTAACTAAGTTTTTATATTAAATAATAAATATTGATAAATTTTTACATAACTTGTACATACATACATATACATAACATATATTTTATATAAATAAATGAAGAAAAAAACATTTATTTTATTCAAAAGAAAAAATTTTAATAATTAAAAAAAAAAAGCAAAATGTTGATTTAAAATAAATACATTTATTAAATATTAAGTTTAATTATGTATTATTAATGGGTTTATCAAAACTTCTTTTATATAATTGTCACCTAAAAAATAAAAAAAAAAAAAATAAAAATACAAAAGAAAACTAAAGTAAAATTTAGATAAATTATATTATATATATATATGTATAATTAATATAAAATTAATTTGGATTCTATAATATAAATACACTTATGAGAAATTTTAAATGGTTTTTTTCAATGTAAACTTCACATGTCACGTCTCAGATATTTGATATTTTTGATAATTCAGTTCTATTCTAGTACTTAATTGAAAATTATATACTACACGAGCTGTTAAAAAATTGTTTTTGAAAATGTTACAATGTTTTGACAATATTTATTCATGCTGCAACTTGGATTAAGATCTTTAGTTTAAATTTAGCTATTGCAAATTAAAAAAAAAAAATAATGAGCCTTATTCTAGTTGTCGAAGTAGAGCGACAATTATTGTCGTTACGAATTGAATTTGATATTCTAAGCGGCGATCGCAGTGACACTTATCGGGGAATAGCGGAAAAATGTGTTTCAGCCATATTCCAGTTGTCGTTCTGATGCGAGATATGTCGTAGTGAAATGACGTTTCTTGTCGAAAAGTATTTAACAATTAGTGACAAGCAAGAAGGATACACCAAAAATGCAAGTTAAAACCAAACAATTTAGCAAAATCATAAAAAAAAAATTAATTTTATACATAATGTAAATTAAGTCATAAAATATATAATTTAATTTTTGTTTTTAGCGTGAAAGTATTTATAAATTTTAAGAATTGGAAATTTAATGACAGAGAACGCCTTTTACTCGTGTACTCGTTTTTCCCTCGAATATATTCAGTAAATATACAAAGGCTTCCTTTGGAAGTCTGTAATAGTTTATAAATTTGTGAATAAAATAAAATGTTTGTAATTAACTTACTTGAAAAAATTATTGTATTGGCTTACATTCCATTTGGCAAATCCAATAAATTAGAGCTAATCTTAAATCTTTTGATCCTTAATTGTTGTTTTTTTTTTAATATCATCACTATCGGAATGATATGAATCGGTAAACTATAATGCAAATGACATTTTTTATTATTTAAAAATATAAATATTTAAATTGAAATTTGTTTTTTAGTTTGAACTTTGCTCGCCAAAATTTTTTTTTTAAAATGTATCAATTTCATTTGAAACATTTCAATTTCGATTATTTCTCGTACTCACGTCACTCGACACCCGAATACCACATTTCAAATGATGTGACAGCGACACCGACAAATGTTACATAAGTTACGCGACAACTAGAATAAGGCTCAATATGTCGGAAAATTTAGAAGAATTATTAGAGTAAGTTTGAATTATTAGAATAAGAGAATTATTAGAGTAGTATTTTCGTTTCTAAATTTTTATTTAATATGCATATGTACATAATATTAGTTTAATAAAAATACATGACTTACAGTATTTCAACGAGTGCAACAACTCTCTTTACTACAAGTAAACAGCATTTTAGTTTTCGGAATTATTTCGATCTGCTACTAAAATTAAATAAATTCTAATTTAGACATGCAACGCAAACAGTTTTTTCAAAAATACCTAATTTTTGGTTTTTTACAATTCTTTGTACAGTACAACATTATTGAATTCAACTCTTAACAAAAACAAAATGTACAATTTTTGTCAGATTACCGTGTAAAAAATTTGTGCGTACTGTGATTTTATTTACCATTAAAAAAATTTAAACTTTCCAAAATTTCAAATAATCCCGCATTTTGCAATCAAAAAGCAAAAAATAAACCTACATATTTTAAAGAAGAAGCTGTACGTTGCTGAACACGGCTATATTTGTACGAATCAGTACTACATTGAACTTGTAAATCATGGAAGCCATACTCTCTTTAGTAAAACAATAAAATTAATTTTTGGATTTTAGTATTAAAGTGGTAACTTTGACTTCCCTACCGATGATTATTTTGGTAACGAAATTAATCTTCCATAAGAAATAATAATTCACCCTAAATTCAAGGATCATTCGCTAATTATAAAAAATAAATTGATGTATGTCGATGAGAAATTAGATAGACAATATTATTTTTTTTAAAAGGGGGCTTAAAGTAACGATTAATTCCAACAGATTAGTAATTACACTGTTTCGCGGTAAAAGAAACAAGTACCTATTGCGCTTGTGTAACTCGAAAAATTTTTGTAGTTTCGACATAATAAATAGAAAAAATAATGGTATTTTTAGGATTGTTAGAGGGCGGAACATAGGAACAAAACAATAAAATAGGTTCTTTTGTTCCTAAAATATAAGCTTTTTTTTCAAAGGGTGAAGAAGTTTTATAAACTTTTGCCTAGATAGATGATCGAACTGGCAGACGGAGTGAACTTAATAAGCACTTTGTTCCAAATTTGTTGTTAAAGTGTTTAAAAAGTAGAAATGAAAATCATTCTGTTTGTTCCTTCATTTTAATAAATCTTCGACTACAGTGTGATTCATTATCATGACTCATAAAAATCAATATGCTAGCGACCTTGTCGAATTCAACAATTTCTTTAATAAATTTCATATGGTTTCTTATTGAATTATCAAATTAATTTTTTTTTATGTTATCAATATTCTGAAAATATGAATACATTTACAAATTTGCCTCCTTTTCATTTTTTTAGGGCCAACAATAACAAAAGATAAAGAATTTTTTTTTATGTCCAAATCCTGTGTTCAGTTGCTTACATGCAAGTTGAAAAAATTCTCATTTGCCAATATATGAATTTCCGGTTTTTCATTTTTTTAAAAAAAAGTATAAAAGAGGTAGAATAATGTTTCTTTGTATCATAAAATCTTTTCTTCAGTTTAAAAATTGTTTATCAAACACGTTCGTTTCCAAAATTTTGTAAAAACACAATAAAACGAAGAAAAACAAAATACAAAGAGCTGATCCCAGTCAACTTTCATTAACACAGTACAAAAAAAAGGGAAAATCAAATCTTTTCTATTCTTTTTTTCATTTAAAAATGTTTTTTTTTTTTTGGTTTTAAGAGAAGATAACACCTGCAACACAACTAGGTATACTCATTAAAACGTTTTTGAAAGAATCCATATTAAACTCAATACTTTATAATTTACCCAACAAGTTTAAAATATAGAATGTGAAACGAAAGATATAAAGCGAAACTCAAAATGAATGTTATGGGCAACCATTCCTTTTGTTGCCAATATCTTTAAGTTGATTTTAAAACCCACACATACAAATATCATTTGCAAATACATTAACAATATCATCCTTAAGAAAGGTCGTTCAAAAAAAGTTCAATGGTTACAGGTAGGAAACAAAAATTAAAAAATTATCAACAAAAAAATATTATAATAAATGTACGATAATTAAAAAGTATAAATAAGAGTGTTGGGGTTACCAATTTACCATAAAACTTCTTTATTAAAAATAAAGTTTGAAATTCTTTAATAAATTCTCTAAAAATTTTAGTCTGCAATTGTCCGAAGGAAAATTGGAAGTTGTCAAAAAATTATCGTTTTGGGGGAAAAGTAAAATAAAACCCATGATTATATTGGCAAATTTGTTCAAAACTTTTATCAATCTCGGGTTATACAAGTACAATATTTAAACATTTCTTATTTGGAACAAAACTTGTAAATCTTTTCTATATCGTTTGTCGATTATATGCTCGAAGCGTATAGCCACCTGAAATATCCTTATATCATACGAGTATTATAATAATTTTGTATTTTATTGCATTCGCCTAAAAGTATGCTATAAAAATTTAAAATTATCTTTTACATATTTCATTAAAACAAAAAAAATATTGAAATAAATAAGAACGAATGGTGTCCTCAACTGAAAGTGTAGTGAAACTCAAAACAATTTAAAAAAAAAAGTTACATGACCTGACATACATGAAGATCGTCCTATTCATCATGACACACGAACAATGTATATATACAAAGTGAAATCCGTTAAAGAGTGGACATCAAAATAACACGAAGAAATCTAAAATAAAATAAACACAATTAAAGATTTTCAATCTGTTTTTTTTTTTTTATTTTGTTATTAAATTTATTTATTATATACAAAGCAGCATATATTAAAGGTATGCGCACACAGAAAACAAAAACTGACTGTAGGTGTATTAGTATATTTATAATAATAGCCATTCTAGAGCAGTTATATTTTGTATCCAAAAATAACTAAACCTGTAATGATTCTCTACTTATAGACATGATATTTATTTATATACGTAAATATAATTTTTCTTAACCTTTCAGTATTTAAAGGCAATGTCCTCTTCT